TTTACATATATTGTAGAGCAGATAATGCTGTATCAAAACTTTAAAAAAAATATTTTCATGATAATCATCACTCATGTTATTGATAAAAATGCTCTGAAAATAAGCTTTAGTTTCTATTAATTATGCAACACAACGATGATCATGAAACAATAACTGTTGATGTTAATTGTGGATCAAGTACTTGATACGATAATGCTAATGTTGGAGGGTCAACTACAGGTGTTTGTTAATTAGTTTTCTAAGTTCAGGCACTAATATAGCACACGTACAACAGGTAATAAAAGATGATCGTAATATTCAAAGAATTCTGTATTCAACACAAAACATAGGCACCGATTTCATCGGCAACGCCACAAAGATGAATGAATTCCAATAGCATACTTGATATGTATATGAAAGGATAGAGAACTGATATTGATAATAGTTGAATCGTAATTTTCGATGATTTCGCTAACGAATTGGTCGACACATTCGAGATTTTTGATAGAGAACACCTGAAAGAAGAACAATATTGCAACAAATAATATCTATTGTAGGCATCATATCATTAACTATAACGTTCCATATCGCTATTAATGGAGCATCATAATAACAAAGAGGATCACCACATGCAAGTTGACAATAATCATGTGCATTTTCACATGGTAGAAAAATACTTATAAGACTATTATAACGTATACAACAGAGAAGAATTATGGCTACTGATAAATAATGAAAGAACAGAGTACCAAAAAACTAGATTGAACAAGTTTGAAGGAATTCTTTTCAAATTTGTTTTTCACAAATAGTACATTTTCAAAATTTGCCTTCGAATAAAAATGATGTGCATAACATGTTTATTTTTGTACAGTCGAATCAAATCAGCTAAGTAACCAACATATTAATGTGTATCATGAAATTTTGAAGGATTCTTTGCATTTTGTCACATATTGTTACACAAGTTATCTGAATTTTTATAAGTAAAATATCATCATTTTTTTCCTTTATATGATTTCGATTGGATGCAAACTAAGATATGAAAGTTTGTTCAGAAAAATGTTATTCATTAGATATTAGTTGTCGAAAAATGTTTATACAGAACGATGAGATCATTCATCCTTTTTCGATTATAAAGATAATGACATCAAATCAAATATGTCTCCTTATCCATACTTGCATTGAAC